AAGCAATCCTGAAAAATATTTGGGGGTGCTTAACTTTTTTCCAGGTGTATAGTTTTAGCACTTTCTTATCTGATAGTATGAATGAGAAAAGTTAGACGAGTTTGTTAAACATGTTAACAATGAATGTTCATCGATTCAGCTTGGAGTTGGACATATTCTAACAAAAAGTTACATAAGACCTTCAAATAATAGTTTAGTCGTTGAGTTAGTCGTTCGTTTTACAAATGTATTCCCCGATGGGACAACGGTAAATTAAAGTACTTACAAGCTAATATTCGTAGTTCAATTCGTCTTGGTAGACATAGTGTTGATATCCCATTGTGTAGCTTTACGTTAATACAATAACAATTTACGTATATGGCAAACAAAGTTTACTTAGCTTTACGTAATTCACTAAACAAAAGTATTAGTACTAACCAGTACTGACGTCAACAATGTTTTTCTGCCCGAGGACATCTGTACAAATCGTAAACATGAAAGATACCTAAAAAACTTTATTTGTAATTATTTTTCATATTATAATCTATTCAAAATTTAAATAAAATATCTGAGTAGTAACCTACTCTGTTGAATAAACGCATAAAATTATGCTACTTAAATTAGAAATGGATTAATCAACTGATCTAATTTTGCTAATCTAGAATTCTTAAAATCTCCGTTTAAAAAGGAAATTTAATGTGTAATAGTACTAATCTTCTATTTACAACGTAGAACTCCAACTCACCGTGTTAATAAAACGTTCTTACAGCTTCAGCAAATAAAAATAATGTTAACCAACGTTAATGTTTTTCTTCTCGCGCTTGTCACAAGACCTGCCTGAAAAATGACGAGCAAGGATCAACTACTATTTATTTGATAAAAAAACAACAAAAAACACCTACACCAGTGCTATTGATACAGATTTGCTAATAATATACAGCAACGATTACACCCATACTCCTTTGTTATCTAAAACTAACCTTTGAACAGGTTAGCTAACAAAGTTTAGATAATATAAGGTTTAGCTATAAACAATAGGTCATGGCAGTTAATAATCAATGAGGTCATTAGGCATTTTCATATATAATTAGAACATTTATCTGAAAAATTTAGTGTGTGTGTGTGTTTTTTTTGTTTGTTTGTTTTTTTCATGACATTTTACATTCGCTGATCATATTATAAAACTAACTTAGAAGTCATAATGTCATTAAATGGGAAAAACTGGTAAGCCCTCTTTCTAGATGTCGCTGTCAGATACGCCCCACAGTGGCAGAGCGGTATGTCTGCGGACTTACAACGCTAGAATCCGGGTTTCGATACACGTGGTGGGCAGATAGCCCATTGTGTAACTTTGTGTTTAATTACAAACAAACTGTCAGATACATGGAATATGTTTTATCAAAGCAATTTAGGTGTTAAAACAAACTTTTAGCCTTCAAACGAAGTGTTTTAAAGATTAATTTGAAATAATATGGAAAACTATGATTTGTTTTGTCCTGTTCATCAAATACCGGACATTTTTTGGTTTAATTCACACACATACTTAAATTATCAGGGTCTCAAGATTAGAAAAAATAAATGTAAAAGCTATGGGATCGAGAACTGCTGTTACTTTGGAATTTTATTTTATTTTTTGGATTACTTGTCTAATATCTAACCCTCCGAAGTTTCACACAAAGTGTAATCACATTTTAACACTGCAAGATTACATGATCTTAAGAAACTTCAGTTGTAGTATAGCTACTCATATAACCCACCTTAAATAGACCTACTTTTTAGCTTCATAACGAAGAACAGCATAATTATAGATTTAAACGAACAGCGATTCCGTTTCCGTCAAAAGTCCATTCAGGTTTTAGTAAACATTTCCCGGTAACTCTTCAAGGACATCACTCAACGAGCATTTGTCTCTTACGTGAAAGTTCCAGAGTTCTCAACGAAACGCAACATTTGGAAAATAGTTTCAGATTGCGATTCAGTGTATAAAAATGTACCGGTTAAGTATCATTTCGGATTTTTCTTTGGGTGAGGGGGGCGACAGTTGCCGAGATATCCGTATAAATACAATAATTTACTTCAGATATTAATAATTCTTCCAGGAAAATACTTCTACCCAAAATCATACCTCAAGTTCCTTTTGCTCTGAAACTGAAAATGAGTCTGCGCCATAACATCATCCAGATTCTCGTAACTGAAGCTAAAAACTAAAGCATCAGCCAAGATTATTGTAGCTGAAACTGAAAACAATTTTACATTCAGAGCATCAGCCAGGCCCCCCAAGGCACAGTAGTATGTCTGCGGTCTTACAACGCTAAAAACCGGGATTAGATACCCGTGATAGACAGAGCACAGATAGCTCATTGTGTAGCTTTGTGCTTAATTACAAACAAACAAAGAAGCATTAGCCAGATCTTCCTAAGTAAAACTATAAACATAAACTTCAGATTCAACTAGTTATGTATCAACTGAAAACAAGGTTGCACTTAAACATCAGCCAGATTCTCATAAGTAAAGCTCAAAAAGAAGCTTGTCCATACACTAACGTTTTTTGTAGTCATAATGTTACTAATCTAAAATTCTTAAAGTCTCCGTTTAAAAAGGAAAACTAATGTATAATAATACTAATTCAATGAAAACCAGAAACTGGGAAGGCAGAGATTCTAATGGTGAGATTAATTTTATTTTGCTTAATAAATAGTTGTGATTAATTTTGTTATGCTTTATAGAACTGTCATCTTGAGAGAAAATATTAGCACAACACACAATTCAAGTAATACATTTAAAACATTAAGGAACTATTTTAGTAAAGATAAAACAAGCAATTTCAAATATAACTACTGAGGCATGAAATATTACAAAAATCCATATGAGCTAGTGTGATGGATTTATTATAATATATTTATTTAATATCAACGTTTCTTTAGATTACATTTATATTTAGAAACACACATAGCTTATAATGTTAGATATGTATTGCGAAACTCCGGCCTATTCTCCGAAGTTGTAGAAGATTCTCCAGAGTAAGAATCAACAAATATGTGTGTATGCAAACGCTTAAATGTAGTGTCAATATTGTATCGTAAAACTGAAAATTCGAGAAAGCCTCCACACTTCTATAAATATAACCAACGCGACGCGCCAAGAAAGGAATATATATTATTAGTTTGTTATAGTGAATGTGCTATAAACTTCGGAAGCTATAACTGTGATTGTTATAGCATTTATCAATCGGAAAACTTCAGATATTTGACCAGGAGCATTTACAAAGTTCGAACATTACAAGTCATTTAACTTCAGAGAATTCTCATCGGACATTAGTATTTTTACGAAAACATTACATAACGCCACGGTGAAAACCTCGGCGTGTGTAGCTGGTAAATAACGAAGGACAAAGCTAGCTAGCTCCTGTGAAGTGAATTATACCTACGTCAACTCACTCGTAATCAACTCGTTCATCGTGAGCCCTTGATAAGATGTCAAAGAAGTTCCAGATTAGAAAGAAGACTTTAAGAAGCTTGTAAGTTTGTGAAACTTTTGTTTATAAATCACTGTTTGTAATAACTGTTATTGTAAATTGTATTGTTGTATGTATATTGAAACGTATTTGTGTTAAAAAAGAAAACTCTGTTATCAATCTTGTTGGCAAATATCATAAACTGATTATATATATCGGCTTTTACTTAACTACTAAATCCATAGTACAATTTAACTACTAAATTTAAATTTATTAGTTAACTCAATTTCAGGCTATTTGAAATTCTAATACGTAACATAATACTAGTTTCATATCAATTTATCCATATCGTCAAACCATATTTGATTAGCTCGTGGCAGTTTTAACTTGAAGACTCAGCTCAACTTGGATAATAAATAGTAATTGATTTTATTAAATCATATGCCAATTTAGTTTATTGTTTGTTTGTAATTAAGCACAAAGTTACACAATGGGCTATCTGTGCTCTGCCCACCACAGGTATCGAAAACCCGGATTCTAGCGTTGTAAGTCCGTAGACATACCGCTGTGCTACATGGGAACAATTTAGTTTATAAAGCTACCATACAGCAGAATGTCCCCCACCATCAGAGCAACAGATATTAATGTGTTGCACAAAAGTGGTTTAGTTGACATGTAAAACAATGCTGTAACATGAAACTTTTAGCAAACTGCATCTTAGCATCACAATCTTGTAGCTGAAAATAAAGCCCCCCAGCGGCACGTCTGCGGACTTACAACGCTAGAATCCGGGTTTCGATACCCGTAGTGGGCAGAGCACAGATATCCCATTTTGTTGCTTTGTGCTTAACTTTCAACAAACAAACAAACTGAAAATAAAATAATGTATAAATGAAATTAACATTGACCTACATATCTGCTGTGTCCACCGAGGAGAATCGAACATTTGATTTTAGCGTTGTAAGACCGAAGACTTACCGCTATCCTACCGGGGGACCACTATTACAGCTTTATTAGTTTATTTTATTTATTTCTGGTAGAGCTACTTCGACTATCTTCCGCCGTTCCTAATTTTCATCTGCCGACCAAAGAGAGAAGGCAGCAAGCTGGTAGTAGCCACCGCCTTGGCTACTCTTTAACAACTAGTAGTGCGATTGACCGTCATGTTATATTGCCTCCTTGGCTCAAAGAACAAACGTGTTTGCTATTGGGTTTCGATCCCGCGATGTGCGAGTGTAGCGCCCTAATCATGAGGCCTGAAATGACTTAAGTTGTGTGGAAGTGATTCAAGTGAGATAAGTTGGAAACAGAGTTTCTGTTGTCGAAGAGGCTCTAATGAAAATATTATATGATTTATTGTTAGATTGTTTCACTCTATCAATGAAATATATATGTGGCGTGGTTTGTTTTTCTTTATGAACTATAAAGTACAAGGTAGTATTTTTTTAAATAATTTACCTCGTGGTAGAAGATAAAGTATGATACAAATTGCAAAGTTTTGTGATTTTCCCGGTTTTATCAGATACCAGATACTTTAAATTATGAAACTGAAAACGAGAATGCACATAAACGCACATAAAATAGACAAATATATTTTATGAAACATTTAGACTATGTCATTTCAAATTACGGCACATTCACTTCAATATATTTTGATATGTACTGTTAATGATAGTGATAGCATAATGGGTAGATAGTAATACGGTGAATCAGCTTATGTACAGCCGGTACCCCAGTGGCTCAGCGGTAAGTCTGTAGGTTTTAATACTTTATGGTCGGCACAGCACAAATAGCCGATTATGTAACTTTGTGTTGAATAACAACAACAAAACATGCAATCTGTACAATTGCATATACGAAAGTTGCCTAATACTCGTTTTTCATACTGGTGGTACTGTCATCGTTTAGGAGGTTACTCACCGTTACTGTTACAATAATAGAAACTCAGTGAAGTGTTTATCAGTTTGGTGTATGCGTTGTTTGTTTGTTTGAACTTAAGCACAAAGCTACAAAATAGGTTATCTGTGCTCTGCCCACCACTGGTATCGAAACTCGTTTTTCAGCGTTGTAAGTCCGCAAATATAGCGCTGTGCTACTGTGGGGCCACCATCTACTGTAGAATAACTGATATTAAACATAATCTAATTTTTTGTAAGTCTTTTGGTCTTGAACTTTGTCATACTCACTACATAAATACGCAAAATTTTCTATAATATTTGGGCACTTCTGAGTTTGCTTTCATCAAATGATTATTTTATTTTTGTTATAATTAGACGTTTATTGAACATTACTTAATATCCTTACTGCAAATACTATATAAAACCACAAGTCGTAATACCCTGTATGAAACTTTTACAAATTTGTCATTTGAATTGTTTAAAGTATCATGACAATTGTTTTAGCACAGTTCTTAA